CAACTTAATATATATTACTATTCTAGAACTTATAAGTATTAGAATAATAAATCAATGAATAGAATTGAAACATACATATACGACTTTAAAATGCTGTAAATATTATAGTAACCATGATTTATGCCTCTTAAATCGCTTTGTTTGAAAGAAATTTAGAACATTAAAAACATTTAATTTTTTTGTAAATTTGAACTATTTCATGATTATCAATACAATATATTCGAGAATAATCAAAATACAATAATATTAAAATTTTTTACGTAAATATTTTAGATAAATTCTAAAATTACCAAAAAACAATAAATTAAATAATTGTATAAATAAATTCTATTCTATAATATGATTCTAACGAAATCTAAGAAATTCATTTTGAGTAAAATAATTTATTATAATTTAAACCTGAGAATGAGTATTTTTACACATTTAAAAGTGCAGTTATTTATTATTAATAATAATCAAACGATTTTTATTATATTTCTACTATTATTTTTAAACGAAAAAATTTAATATTTGGGGGTGTGTGGTAAGAATGCTTTAAAACAGTGATTCCCAAACTTATTTCACCTACCGCCCCCCTTTCCAGAAAAAATGTTACTCAGCGCCCCCATTACAAACTTTCCGAAGGAGAAGTTTGTTTTCATCAAAAAATCCGATTCGCTAATTTTATTTTTTTTCTCGACGTTTCAAGCCATTCTGGATCGAATGAGACCAACAATTGGAAAGCAATATATGTGTGTGTGTTTAGATGTTTTGCCATAATCGTTGTTTTCTCAAAAATGGCTGGACCGATTTCAAAAATTTAAAAGCCATTCGATGTATCTCGATGAGGACTAACATTTCTCAGTTTTGTGCAACAATCGGCCGAGCCGTTTCTTTGTAAATCGCAGAAAAGTGAAAAAAATTTCGTCCACGTTTTAGCCACGTTGGGAATCGACCTGATTAGTTTTTGGTAATGATCGGCCGCGCCGTTTTCTTGTAATAAAGTGTTTTTATTAATATAAGTAGTAGTAATTAATAAGAAGTAGAAATTTTTTAGACAATTTTTATGTTTTTTTGACGGTAGATACCACAGTCTTATAGATCATACTAAAATATTACGGTCCTACGACAAGTCGTTAAATTTTAAAAATTCGTCAAAGTTTGCAAAAATTGGTATCGTTTTTGTCAAAATTAGAACTTTCAACAATGTTTGCTTAAAAACGCATAATCCGATTTTAAAAATTTAGTAGCCAATCGATGTATTTCGATTATAATTTTAATGTAAGGGAAAAGTAAGTAAGAAAAGGTAAATTTGTTCGCAAAAAGTAATAAAGGGAGTCGTGTTAAAATTCAAGCAATATTGGAAATAGACTCGGAAATTAATACAATATCAAAATCGCTATTCCAAAAATTACGCGTTAAATCTCAATCCACGAGCCTTAAGCTCCACGGTGTTGTTGGAATTTCAACGAAATCGAATAATTTTACAAATTTAGAAATATTTAATCAAGATGGTACATTTGCAAAAAATATAAATGCCTTTGTACTTACGAAAATATCGAGTCTACTACCCGCGCAGCAATTCCAAATTTCTGAACTAAATTTTCCTAATGGATTAAAACTTTTGGATTCACACTTAAATATTCCGTGCGAAGTAGATATGTTGATAGGTGTTGATACGTTTTTTGAAATTTTAGGTAACGAAAGAATTATACTAGGCCCCGATAAATCTATTTTACAAAACGCGGCATTTGAGTGGACAGTTACGGGTAGATATCAAAGAAATATAATTCATAGCACGACAAATAGTGATCATATATCCGCCAATCTTACAGAATCTCTTACAAAAAATCTCTTAAAGAATCTCTTACAAAATTTGGTAAAGTTACACGCTTTTGAAAAGTTACACAAATTATCGACACACAAAGAAACGTATGAACCATTCTTTTCATTAAACCTTTTGCGAAACAAGAATTGGCGGTGCACAGCTTTAAAACGGATGTATTTACTAATACACCTATGCAGATATGTTTGAATAACTTTAAAAGATTATCTTTACATAATTCAGTGTCAATTTTAATAATCTATTTATATATAATATTAATATTATAATATTTTTTTAGTTTTGTGCTTTAAACGCCCCTTACAACTAAGCATCGCCCCCTAAATACACCAAAGCCCATCACCGCCCCCCAAAATTGCCGCAGCGCCCCCAAGGGGGCGCTGGCGCCCACTTTGGGAATCACTGCTTTAAAATAACAATGCTATTAAAAAACAGTGTTTTTCTATGATTCATTTTTTCAATCAGAATTGCGGAACTTTATTATTCGATTATATGTAATTTGCTTTATCTTTAATATTATATCATATCTTATATTTTTCGATTTATATATCTTTTTTGCTTGTGAGCTTTGTATGATATATTTTATTCAATTTTCTTCATGAAAAATTTGAAAAAACAAGCACTTGTTCATTTATTTTGATAATTTTTCTTAAATTACCTATTAATTTTCGAAAAACCGGGACAATCCGAAACAAAAAATCTAAATCGGGGACAAAAATTGCTTTTAGAAAAACCCGGGACACAATGTAGAAATGCGGGTCTGTCCCGGCCAAAGCGGTACATATGGTCACCTTACTATGAACCTATTATTTTCAAAAGTTACTTATAAATAAACAATCTTTACAATATTATTCATATTTTTAATATCCATCTAATAATTGCTTGTAGAGTAGATTACGATGTCGGTCTAATAATTGCTTGTAGATTGAAGATTACGATATCGGTTTGCAGAATTTTCCGTATTTTCGTTTGAAATCATGAGTTTTTTTTACCATAAGTCGAACAGCATATTTCACCAAACCTATCCTAGTCCATATTTTCTACCTATTTTTTAGAAACTTCACATTACTTCGAATATCTTTCTGACGGCTCTGATAAAATCTTTTATAACCGCTCCGTAGACTTGTAGACTTTTCCCGTAGGGCTCCGGTTCAACATTTCGCAGATATTTTCAATATTCCTATTTCAAATTGAGCTTCGTCGTATATTATATTCTAATATTGTCTAGTCTCTAGTATCATCTGTATGTTCATTTCCTTTACTTCTCAACTGCCGATCACTCCGGTAGATCACAATCAGCTTTTTTCTTACTATTTTGTGCCTTAATTGGTAGTACTCAACGATTTTAACTTTGATTTGCTCATATGTGCGCAATTACATAAAACTTCAAGAGATCTTTCCATTTGTTCACTCAGATGAGATTTTTGTTCATCAGACTTTTTATTTAGAGTCATCTGATAATTAAAGTTGTGGGGTGCAAATCAAATTGCTCCAACTTCCCGTACCGTAATTAAAAATCTTGGTACAAAACACAAAAAAAATTACGCAAAACGTGTACACATTATTAAAATTTCTATAAAATATCTGATAATTTGATGTGCATATATTCAATAAACATTTTTGACCGCTAAATGACATTTTTTTAACTTATTTTTATTGAGAGTCCATAACCGTTGGACCTGCCTTCCGAAAAATTTAATCAGTACTTCATCTTGTCAATACAAGTAAAATGTTTTTTGAATTATTAAAATCGCACATTATCTTAAAAACTGAGTTACCGTTTTTGGCACTTTTTGCCCTGTATTTCATACCGGCTAGACCTTCTTTCGCCAAAAACTAATCAGCACGTCTCCTTATCAACAGCAATCGAATGTTTTTTGAATAATTGAAATCGGTTGAACCCTGTTCCCGAAATTGTCGACGAAAATTTGTATCCGCACACACACATACACACTCACACACACATACATCCATTTTTCTAAGGTATGCCAAAATGTTCAAAAATATTTGAAACGTAAAGATATAAAAAAAATTATTTTAGATATTTTTGCGATTACTTTAACTTACCCTAAGGGAAGTTAATAATACATATTACTAGCAAATTAGTTAACTGATTACTGAACACGTGCTAATAGAATTTTGTGTACACAAATTTTTATGCATTTCGAACTGAAATTCATGACTAAACAATGAGGCTTTTAGTGAAGTGGAAATAAAAGATATAAAAGACGAGTCTGTAGCTATGAAATGGAAATTAGCTAAAAAGCTTGGAGCATTTAATAATTTGATTAAAAATTATGAAATGAGTAAATGTGTTAGATTGAATTATTTACTTAATTAATTACCAAGGTTAAAGCAGATAATCTTTTTACTCTTATATCTATGGGTATTATATTTTTAAATGTCTACTGTTTTACACTCTTATCCATAGACAAAAGAAGCTCTAGTCTAATCTGTTGTCCGCAGATAAATTAACATATGTTCTTATTCATCTCTTATCCTTATCTTTGTATCTTTATATATTTATTTATCTATGCTCTTATCTGTGATTGACATAGATAAAAGAAGAGTATGTACTAGGTCTTATAGGTCTGAAACAGTCTGTCGGGAAGGTTTCTCTCTTATCTATGGATGGTTCCTTCACAAAAATAAACATAACTTTCTTATTTATGATTCCCAGTTTTCCAGTGTATGGGGCCGTTCAAGTATTACGTAAGCACTATAGGGGGGAGGTGGGGTTGTTGATTTGCTTATTTTGGGTTGACATGGGGGGGCGGGAAAGTCTGGATGATGATTACGTCATAAGTAGTATTTTTATTTTTTTACATTAATTGCAAAATATTTTCGTAAGCATGGGGGTAGGGGGTAAGAGCTTTGCTTACTCTTGCTGACACTGGGGATGGGGGGGGGTAAATATTTGTAATAAATCTGCTTACGTAATTCTTAAACGATCCCTATGGTGTCAACTTCAATGCTTTATTTATCCGCAGCAATTTCGAAAATTCTACATTGTACTCTTCCTTTATCTATTACTGCTCTGGCCTGCAACTTGCAAAGAGTTCATCAGCGCTTCGTGGGTGGTACAAGAAACACTCAACTTCGATTTGGTTCTATGTAAATTTGTAAATAGACCCTAATCGGGTCGAGTGCATGTTGATAAGAAATGTTTTGGCGTTTCTGTCAAACTGTCAAGTCATCTAATTCTTGGTTAATCAATAACAATATCAGAAGTGTCACTTCTAATATTTTTAAAAGATTTGTAAACAATCAGCAAGAACAGATTTTGGTCAGTATGTTTATGAGCATTTTATACCTTACCTAAAATATTTTATTTATCATCAAATTTATATAGGCCATGGGCGGTTTTCAATATCCCGAAGCAAGGCGCGATGAATCAATCCAAGACAACTTTCACGGAAAAACTGTAAATTTCAAATAGTATTCTGACAATATATATTATTATAGACAATATTTTATTTAATCAAAATTTGTTTTACAGGTTAGCGATCCTTACAGATGGTTGGAAAATCCTGATTCAAATGAAACAAAGGATTTTGTTGACGCACAAAATTCTATTACTCGTCCATATATAGATGATTATAAATATCGTCAATTTATTAAAGAAAAACTTACAAATCTTTGGAATTACCCTAAGTATTCTGTGCCATATAAAAGGGGGACAAGATACTTCTTTTACAAAAATACGGGTCTTCAAAATCAAAGGTATGGCAACTTATTTATTATTCAACCTTTTTAGTGCCGGGCGAAATAGACTTGCCTATGCAAAAAAATGCCGAATTTCACAGTTTTACATGGGTTTGGAAAATGCTTGCATTTCAAAGAGCTGCATATTGTGGATAATAAAATTGAGACATTCGTTTTTTCGAACCCATATGAGAATTATAAACAAATGTGCAAACACTTGTAAATGAAATGAATTTGAGATATCTAGGTAGAAAGCTTAGTTTGGGATAGAATTCTCCCGCAACATGAGTAGTAAACAGCTGCAAGGCTTGAGTCTATATATCGTTCTTGGCACTTTTAGCAAGTGTAGCAAGAGCCTATATATTGGCTCCTGGCACTGAAGTGGTTAAACAAATCCGAAGTGTACTAATTTATTATTATTTATCTTACTTTTTAAGTGTGATTAAGAATTTTAAAATAATTGTAACAAGACTTTGTGCATAAATGTCATTATTGGTTGCTGTACTAACAAATCTAAATCCAAAAGTTTCAGTATATAAGATACTTTATTATTTTGTTTTCCAATCCTATCTGAATAAAACTATATTTTAGGATTTAAAAGAATTATTTTAAAATTGATTGCTCTTTATCTTTTAATATTTATTTCTTAATTTATTTTTGAAAATCTATGATTAATTTATTGATATCAGAAAATATTCCACAAACACACACAGTGTTTGTGTTATGTGTCTAAGATGTATTTAACATTCTTTTAATAATTTTTTTTATGCTTGCTTTAGAAATTATTCATATCCATTTATAAAAAATAATGATAGTTTAAAAACTTTTACTTTTTTACTTGATATTACACCTTTTTATTTATATTTTGAAATTTGATGTTTTTAATATATCACATGTATTCTAGATCATTTTTAATGAAAAAGCTATGTTTTAGTTTTTTTTTTATTTTTCATATTTGAAATTTGTGAAAAGATTTTTTTTTTAATTTTTTCATATTACCAATTATTGCCAATGATATTAATATGTATTTACACAGTTTATATTTCGGATTTAATGCTTCTATTATATAGATTTTTTTTTTTCAGTGTTTTGTATAAACAAGAGTCATTAACGGATGAGCCAGTAGTATTTATAGATCCTAATATTTTGTCAGATGATGGTACAACTAGCTTTGCAAGAACAAGTTTCTCTGAAGATGGATCAAAGTTTGCTTATGGGCTTTCTAAAAGTGGAAGTGATTGGTTCACCGCACACTTTAAAGATGTTGAAACTAGTATGTAAAAATTACTATTGATTATATTTTTCATAAATTTTGCATTGTATAATCTAGTAACCTTCTTCTAATATAAAAATACGTTGCGTAAACTATATTGAAATATAAATAGGTATTACTAAGTAATAATTTGTAACAACTCTAAATTAAATGCAATAGGAATGCAAGTTTCCAAATATACTAACTAGTTCTTTCTGCACACTATTTTTTTAACCATTCAAAGTGGTTAATCCATTGAACAAACTTGATAAAATGTATGAAATGTAGAAATTTAAAGAATGATCATTTTTGTAATGTTTGTTTTGATTGCAATAACTAGCCCTACTAGGTGCAAATAATTTTAAATAATTGAATGATTTGTATATTTTATTATTTATTTTCTTAAGATTTGTTTTTTTTTAAATGCACATACATTACTCATTATATAAACTATTGTTATTGATAATATTATTAAAAGCTTGTTCATTTTCAGATCACGACTATCCTGATGTATTAGAAAGAATTAAATTTTCTTCCTTGACATGGACATTTGACAACAAAGGAATTTTTTACAGTGTTTGTTTAACAATGTTATTTAATATTTAATATTTTTCAAGTTTTTATTCTTCTTCTACTCATAACAGGGTTATCCACAAGAATTTAAAGAATCTACTGGCAGTGAAACAAATATTCTTGGCCATCAACAACTCTTTTATCATGTATTAGGTACCAATCAAAGTGAAGATGTTGTAGTAGTAGAATTTCCTGAGGAACCTCTTTGGAGAATGTATTCAAACTAAAATATTTTACAACTAAAAATAATAAATGTGTCCAAGTTTTGAACATTTTCAAAAATTTCAGATCGACTGAGATATCCGATTGTGGACGATATTTATTTATATACATATATAAAGAAACTCGAGATAATCTTGTCTATTTTTGCGATTTGAAACAATATGATAATATAACTGGAAAATTAAACATAATTTCTGTTGTAAAAGTTTTTGAAGCAGACTACCATGTAAGTATTTTATCACGCCTTCTTTAGATTCTTAATTTTTAATATAAAATTCATTTTAGTTTATCACAAATGAGGGATCACGATGCATTTTTAAAACAAATAAGGATTCACCTAACTATAGGCTGATTCAAATTGATCTGGAACATCCCGAGGAGAAAAACTGGATAACATTGCTACCTGTATGTAGTAATTTATATTTGAACTTTTCATCTGCAAATTCATTCCTCTAAATAAGTTAAGAGACATAACCCATAAGCACAATTGAAAATTTTAAATACTTTCTAAATATAATTTTTTTTTTTAATTTATTATTTTCTTCTTGAAAATCCATGTGTTCAATAATCAGTTTGTTACCAATAGTCATTCCATAACATCGAGGGAATAATACTTTTTGTCTTACATAACAAACTCAAAAAAGACATAATTTACATAAATTTTGAAATACAAAATTTGTTTCTTTGTTTGAAAAGAAATTTATAAAATCACTTTTTTTGATAAAATCTTTTTTAGTGAAAAAGTGTTAGTTTATAACTAATTATATAGGTAAATAATTCTGTTTTTTCAGTAACCTTTTCTTAAAACTATCTAAGTTTTTAACATTTTTAATATTTCGTTATATAATCCACTCATTTATTTTTATCATTTTAATTTTGATCATATTGTCATATTTCTGTAAATTATTCTTTCCACAATTTTATTCACTTTATATAAAAAAATCCACTATCTTCTGCTTTTCTTAAACATATGGTTGCTTAAATCTTATCATTTTTGGATTCTTTGTTCGAAGCTCTACAAAATATTTACAAATCTAAGACTCCACCATGTAATATATATATGTTTGCCTTTATTATATGTCAATAGTGTTTTATTTTACTATTCTCTAGGAACATCCAGCTGATGTTTTAGATTGGGCTACTTGTGCTAATGAAGATAAACTTGTTTTGTGTTATATGCAGGATGTAAAGGTATTGTTTACATGAGTGGACATTTTTAATTCAAATACTGAAAATTTAATTACATCTGTCTTCTGCAGAACATTTTACTGTTATGGTCGATACCTGAGAAAAAAATTCTATCAAAGTTTCCTCTAGATGTTGGTACAGTGATTAATTGTTCTGCAAAAAAAAATCAATCTGAGATATTTTATCAATTTGCTTCAAATGTGACTCCACCTATTATTTATCGATGTGATTTAACAGAACCTGAAATAATACCAACAGTAAGTATTCCATTAAATTAGTAGTTGTATTAAGTATTGCGTTTGTTATATATTTTATGATTACAAATTTTCTAATGGAAAGTTTTGTTGCCTGAAAATCTAATTTGCTTATTTTATTTTCTCGACATTTGAATAATTCGGAATTATTTTACACCAAAATTGATAAAATGTATGTGTGCTTATCTGAGCCAATATACGATCTTGCATCAATGGTTGCTTAAAAATGGCAGCACTGATTTCAAAAATATAAAGAACTTTTTTTTGTTCAATGATATATATTATTTGGCTACTTCAAAATTAACAAACTAATGAATAAACTTTTGTAGCTTTTAAATTTATAAAGTCCTACATAGTTATAAATCACTTATATTAACAAGTTTATTCAAATTGCCTTAAGCTTAATGCTTCTTGTACTTATTATATTCCAAGATTAGTTAGTTAGTTAGTCTAATTAAACAATTGTGAATCACTAATATGATTTGTTCTTCTATATATGTTATAATTTAACTTGAATTTTTTTACAGATTTTTAGAGAAACAAAGCTCCAGGGATTTGATTCCTCAAAATATAAAATGGAACAAGTATTTTATACCAGCAAGGATGGTACAAAAATCCCTATGTTTATATGCTCGAAGAAGGTATGATATATATTTCATATATGTTAAAGTAGTTAATTAATTTTATATATATATATATAGAGAGAGAGTTGTGTGTGTGTGTGTGTGTGTGTGTATATAGTTAACATTCTTAGCAAAATATTAGGAGATAGCTGCAGATTCTTTATTAATGTAATCATATATACATAAAGATGATTTCTTTAATACTAATTATTTTTTCACAGAGCAGTCCTCGTTGTGGATCTACACCATGTTTGCTATATGGATATGGCGGTTTCAATGTTAGTTTGACCCCCACTTTCAGTGTCAGTCGTGCTATATTTATGCACTGTTTCAATGGAATTATAGCAGTACCTAATCTTAGAGGTGGCGGGTAAAATCAGATTGCAATTGGACATGGCCTTTAAAATGCATGTATAAAATTTGTTTTCTGTGCAGAGAATATGGTGAAAAGTGGCATAATGCTGGTCGATTACACAATAAACAAAATGTTTTTGATGATTTTTGTGCTGCCGCTGAATATCTAGTACAAAATGAATATACCAGTGCAAATAAGCTAACTATTCAAGGTGGTTCGAATGGTGGTTTGCTAGTTGGGGCATGTATTAATCAGAGACCAGAACTGTTTGGAGCAGCAATTGCCGAAGTTGGGTTAGTCTCTCATTAAAATTCATTAGATCTCATATAAATGCATATAAGTGCAGCTACATGAACTTCCACACACTACATTTGGTTTTTTTTTTTTATAAATACTGACATTTACTTCTTGATATATATTGAAATCATAGAATAAAAAAATCCGGAAAATAAGAATAATAAATATTTTGTTGATGCTTATTTATTTAATCATTAACTAGTATTTTATTTGGAAGATATAGTTTAATCATAAAATTATCATATTTGCATTCATGGTGCTAAATTTAATTATCTTCTAAAGTGTGATGGATATGCTGAGATACCATAAATTCACAATTGGTTATGCCTGGTCATCTGATTATGGAACTTCTGATGAAGAGAAACATTTTCACAATTTGTTGAGCTACTCTCCACTGCATAATATTAAAACACCAACTGATGGTTAGTAATATTATTATTTATTTTAAAAAAAGATAGTTCTTATGGCTATGTAATCAATATCTAAGAGTATGAAATAGTTTTAATATGAAATATTTTTGGAGAAGATCTTCACATTTATTTCTATATAGTTTCATAGTATCATATAGTTTCTAAATTATTCATTTTGGATTCCAATGAAATTTATATATCGTTCAATAATTTTTAAAATAGACAATTATAGTTTTTTTACCAACAATTTTAAAATTTTTCAACTATAAACATTAACAAATAGATGCTTGATTGCATCACAAATAAGACTCATATATTTTACTATATGTATATATATATATATATATAATATATATATATATATATATATATATATATATATATATATAATACAAGTGTCCCAGAACTCAAAGTTAAGCCAAAATGGAGTGGTACTATTAGACTATCATGAAAAAAATTAAAAAAAAAAAAATATTTTTGTTTATTTAAGCTTTGGAACTGTGACCTTGAATGATATTTCTAGGACCACAGTCAGAAATAATGACATAATTGTCCCAGATTTCAAAATCTGGATCAATGAAAAATCAAGACTTTTTGTTTAACTACAAATTTAAAAGTTTCAAAGCTGGTCGACTTTAATATTTTAGTATGTTCTTTGGGACTGTGATTACAAAGTTTTGATAATTACAAAGAAACAGCTCGACCGATGGTTGCGCAAAACTATACGTTAGTCCTCGATGAGTTGCATCAAATGGCTTTTAAATTTTGTATATTAAATTATAAATATTTATATTTAAAAATTATTTTATAAAAAGTTTAATGGATGAAAAATTTTACAATACTCTACTAAGTATTGTTCAAAAGATCGTCATGGAAGACCAGACAACGTGGGTTCTCATTGAGTTTTATTGATTAGCTTTTTAATTTTTGAAATTAGTGCAGCCAAAATTAGCATGTCTGATCTTATGGGAAAATTATAAACTTTTACTTTGAGAGAATTAGGCTGAACTTGTTTTCATTCTATGATTAATTATATATAAATATATTATA